ATGCTTATTGTATTATTAAATTAGTATTATTGGACATATCCTGACTGTGTACCTTTGTTTGACCTTTAGTGTTGCGTTCTGGAGTGCGAGATATTGGCGGCCAGGTTCGCGGGAGACTATCTCGTATTCCCGTTCGTAACAATATTATAAGTACACATTGTGACAACCTTAATTTATCGATAGATCATGGTACATACTCAGGTTATACTTACTGAACAATACACGGTAGAAGCAATCAAATATTTCCTCAGGGTCGGGATCCATTTCGTTGTATTTGGGGGGCCTAAATGCAAAGAAACAAGCCTGCCCTTACCAGTCAGTTATGCGTTCGCATAAACAAATCTGAACAAATTAAAATAGTAACTTTTTCATTTAAAAGTCACCTTTTTAGAAAACTGTACCCTACAAAACGGCCTGTTTCATGTGAAATATTTTTTAAACATATACCATAGAATGATTGGCAGGGGATTACATTAAGCACAATTTGGAGACTAACAAATGTTAAATTCTGGTTGCAAATTTACTTCACAAACTATAGAAATAATGATAATGCCACCGAATGCCAATACTCGCAGTATTTCATGACAAAAATGTCATGCCTTTACTCCAAATCAGTTGGAGATTGGTGAATGGGCAAACTACTTTAAAAATCTGTACAAAACAAAGTGTAGCGATACCAACGATGATTTGCAACCACATCAAGATGATAATCCAAATTTATTACTGAATGCTCCAATTTCACAAAGTGAAATCTTAAATGCTGTTTATAATCTTAAGAAAAACAAATCCGCTGGCCCTGATATAATAATTCCAGAATTTTTGAAATATTCATGTGACTTAACCATCCCTCTAATGCATACTCTAATGCATCTTCAATAGTATATTTAACACTGGGCATTTTCCACAGGGGTGGTCCAGAGGTATTATAGTTACAATTTACAAAAAGAAAAACACTCGTGACCCAAACAATTACAGAGCAATCAGCCTCCTAAGTGTATTTAGCAAAATATTCACTGGTATTCTAAATCAACGTCTAAAAGCTTTGGCAGGAATTATTCAAAGGTACCTATCACGAAGAGGTGGGAGGTTGTATTGCTTATATGTCGACTTTCCAAAAGCCTTTGACTCCGTTGAGAAAGAAATTGTCTTATGTATAGGCTGAGTTTAGACGGTTTAAATGGGAAAATGTACAATATTTTGCAAAGTATATATAGCGATGTTAAATCTTGTGCTGGGATTGGAGGGTCTTCATCGGATCACTTTCAACTTGAGAGAGGTGTCCGACAAGGGTGTTTAATTAGTCCGATTTCATTTTTCGCTTTTTATAAATGAAATAGAATCAAACTTATGTGATTCGGGGCTCAGGGGTATACAGTTGTTGCCAAATGACATGTTTGAACTGTTTAATCTTTTGTACGCTAACGATATTGTTTTTATGGCAAATACTGTTATAAATTTAAAACGTATCATCAATGTTCTGCATGAATTTACCATAAAGTGGAAAATGGCGAAGACAAAAATAGTGGTTCATCG